TTTGGGGTGTGATGTAGCTCCTCCTGCAGCAAACACACTGCGCACGTAGACAAAGAAAGAAGGAGACTGGTAGGGCCGGGGAAGCCTACTTAGTATCTCATATTCATCGTGCCCTGTGCGTCTAGCAAAGTCGATGTGGTTTATTTCCCTGATGCATTTACGGTCTGTTGGGGAGATGAAGAGTAAATAAATGAATCCCAGTGAGCAAGATACAGTGTGGTGTTCGTTATCCTGTGATAGAACCAGCACGACCCTAAAATGTATACAGAACCAAGAAGTTAGGAGGATTTACGAAAGAATTCTAAATGAAGATCTTCCCTAATGTATTTCAGGCTGTTTGTTTACACATCATTTCTTCTTTTTCATCCACAAAATATAAAGGGAAAATGATTGAAACTACTGCTATTTGAGAAACATCAGAAAATAACATGAAATCATGTCTATAACTGTAATGTAAATTAGTTAAAATTTGTTTTCCTTTTCAGGAGGTAGTGTGTCAACCTCCCCTCACCTTTTTTTTTTGAGCACTCCTCAGTTGCACAGAATGACGTGTGCTGTCTGTACTATAAAAATATTAAGAAGCTTTTTTGATCCCATGTCAGAGCCGGGTACACAAGGTGTTTTGTAATAGAACTCTGGAAAGTCAGACTCAACCCTGAGACCAGCTGAATTCAGAATTCTTCTCTCCCTGCTTTTTTTCCTGCCCTCTGCTGGAAGTTTTCCTAGAAGCTGGAGCAGGGGACAAAGGAGGCCCGGGCCCAGCCGGCCTTAGCTTTCTGCCCTAAGTCACAGCTCCGGACCACAACAGAAAGGATCAGCTGGAGTGAGTTTGGGTATTGGTTGGAATTGCAGCAAGACTTAACTAACAGCTTTCTAAAGTTAATGTTTTATTTAAAAAGTAGGTACATTTTATGTGAATTAATTCTAATACATATTCAGTATGACTGAAACATTCCTTCTTTAGGTTTCATCGAATTGTTGATATTGTTTTGTTTTGTTTCAACTGTTGCCTTAAATTATCCTGATTATCAACATCAGAGAATGGATTTTCAGCCCTCTATGTATTAACATAAAAATAATTCACATGTTCCAAGCAGAATAATCATGAAAATAGAAATAATATAAATCTCCTATCACCCATTTCTAGAATTAATTATGATTATTTTGTAAGGTATCCTTCAGATTTTTATATATGGATACACATTTTATTTAAAGGTCATCATATTTAATACTGTTTTACGATCTGCTTTTTAATTTAATGGCCCTGAACATCTTTTTACGTTAAATAAACATATGTATATAGAATCATTTATAAATGGATGCATACTCTTCGGTGATCTAGCTCTGCCAGGCTTTACTCGATTATTTCCCAGCTGTTAGTCTATTTCTGGCTGTTATAAATAACTTTACGTACTTCTTTACTCACGTGTCTGATCACTTCTGAGCATAAATATCTAGGCGCAGACTTCTGGGGTCATTTTTAAAGCTTTGACTCCCCAGTGCTAAAAGATTCTCCAGAAAGGGGATGAGTTGAGGGCGCCGGCTTCCCTGCACATGCGCGCACGCACTCCACCCCGTTCCTTCCTCCTCGTTTTGATTCAAATTTGTCAGTTCTTTCTGTTCTTTTTACTTCGTCTGTCAATTCTAGGACCATTGCTTTACTGTTTTGAGTACTAATTTTACAAAACACCCATCCTTCCACCCACAAATTGCTTAATTAAAAAAATTCCTATTATTCTTACATATCTTCAAATGGATTGATAACGTTTTGGAAGTTCTATAAATAATTCCTTTGGGGTTTTCTTTGTGCTTCCATTAAAATCACAGACTAACTATTAAGACAGGCACTTCAGTGGAAATTTTGAGTCTTATTATCTAGGAACATAATGTACATTTATGTAGCTCTCCTCTTACATCTCTCAATAAAGTATTTTTTCTTTTGTCATGTAGCTAGTGCATGCACATCTGTTTTTGCTCATTACTGACTTTGAGAGCTATGGACTTTCCCTTGTTTACAACTTTGCATTCCCTAAAGTTTAGATTTGCAGTATTTGTATTCTCATTTTCAAAGTGCTCTGGTCACAGTTTGATTTCCTCTCTTACTCGAGGGTATAGAATATTTATTTATTTATTTTATTTCAGCTTTGCTGTGTGTTTCTTATCCTTTGGTGTTAATTTGCTTAATTTTGTTGTCACCTGAGAAGAAGAAGAATTATTGTTAAAGTTCTTGTCTGTTTGATGGAAGGGCTCATTCATGTGGAGTCAGGAGTGGGAGATTTCCCTTATTCCCTAGATAAGTCCTGTTCTTTTCAAATACTGAATTCTTCCATATTGCTGGTGTTTTTTCTTGTTCCTGTTTACTGGGAGAAGTCTATATTCAGTATTCACAGTTGTAGTTGCTGTGAATGTGTCATAGATTTTGTGAGAATTTGTCCAAATCTTTTATTCTGGACATGGTAGGAGAAGGAAGTTTTATGTTTTCCTTCCTGCCTGAATTGGAACACAATTGTCTGTTGGGGAAATGGCTTCCAAAGGGTGTAATTATTGGTGCAGCAGGGAAGTGATGTATGTGTTAAAAGCCTGCTTGCTATATTCACCGAGACAGCTTGAAGTTTGTGCGGGTGCTGCCCACCTCTTGACTTTGAAGTCTGTGGGGTACAGCCCGCCGCTAGTAGGCACCCACCCCATTGCCGGCATACCTGTTTTCTCCTTCCAAGCTGTGTGGCCGAACGAGCGAGAGTGGCTACTCGGGTTATGCTGCCAGTGCTGACCGCGGCCTGTGTGTCCCTGAGTGCCATTTTCCCCGTGACTCTCCTTACCTCCACCCCCTTTTCACTGAGCATGAGGTGTTTGGGCATGCTGGTACCTACCCTACCACCTACTTCCCAGATGGGCTTGTTCTTGTAATGAGGTAAATCGTGGCCTTCACTGAGCTCTTACTTCTGTCATATTTTATGGACATCTCCATTAAAAATTGGGGCATATTTAATTTAATAATCCAGGTGCGGATTGCTCCCCTTTCACGCAGCATCGGTCACCCCCTTGGTGGGATCGGAGGGAGAGGAATGTGTTGTCATGTGACACCACACTTTTCCTCCTCACCACCCAGCCAGCCATTCCTCCTAGCAGGCAGTTATGGGACACTCCTGGGGCCCAGCCCACTTCTGAAAATCCCCTCCCTCTGATCCAAGCCACAGGTGGAAGATAGGCATTGTGATCTTATTAATTCCTCATGTTTAATGTAATTGTTTTTAGTTACCCTCTTTAGTGAAATGTATAGCAAGAGTGATACTCTAAGGCTTTCTCCTCCTTCCCTAGATTTCAAACTTACCCTGTCACAAAATACTGAACACATTCAGCGACCTCCTTGGCTCTGTTTTTTTGCATCATGGCCAAGGGAGAGGCAGAATCACAGAGGACAGACCTCTAAGGGTCTTTAACTGGGAACAGGGCGGCATGGTGGTGGGGATTTCTTACTTAAAACCTGGACGGGGAAGGACGAGATGGGTGGGAAGATCTTCGAGAGCAAAGAGGATATCCTGTATCTATCTACTGGGAAGACAGGATCCCATATGGTCATTAAAAGCCGCCCTCCCGGGGCGCCTGGGTGGCTCAGTTGGTTAAGCGACTGCCTTCGGCTCAGGTCATGATCCTGGAGTCCCTGGATCGAGTCCCACATCGGGCTCACTGCTCAGCAGAGAGTCTGCTTCTCCCTCTGACCCTAACCCCTCTTATGTGCTCTCTCATTCTCTTTCTCTCAAATAAATAAATAAAATCTTTAAAAAAAAAAAAAAAGCCGCCCTCCCTGTAGTCTCCACTATGGACCAAGTGAAGCCACCTTTCTTTTGCATGGATAATAGAGAACTTCAGGCATTTATGTCATTTTAAAGTGACCATTCTCAGTGTATTTGTGAAGGTGGACACTTATTTAATTTTAGGGTTTTGGTGTGTGTGTGCCCCTTTGACTATAGGAGCCTAACTATTGAGAGTAAGAAATATAAATAAAATGCGAATTTATTCTCTTTCTCCTTTTGACCTGTTTTTCCCCTTTAGGGGTGGGAAGGGACACAAAATACACTAAGGTAAACTGAGTTTAAATTTCAGTTTACTCTAAAGATAGGAATTTTAAAAATTCTGTGATGGAATCTATCCTCAGCATTGGTTTTAAAAGATAAACATATATTTCAGGATTACATGCCTGAAGTTATATATTGTAAATATATATTATATAAATTATGTATAAGTTATGTTACATAAAGTCTTTTCTTAAGGGATTTAAATTGGATATATCAAGAAAAAATATTGTATCCTTAATAATGCATGAATTACTAGAACTACATCTTCACCAGTCTTAGAGGTTTTAACCAGTTATATTTGGTAATAAAATTTATCTGGCAGATTTTTTTTTTTTTAAAGATCTTATTTTTAATCAGTCTCTACACCCAGTGTGGGGCTTGAACTTACAACCCCAAGATCAGGAGTCGCACGCTCCACCAACTGAGCCAGCCAGGCTCCACCCTCCCCCGCAGATTTTTTTTTTATTACAGATTCTTCCCTTTAAAATAAAGACCCTGGCTAACTATGAACTTTTTAAAGAAGTTTAATCCTAAAGCAAGTTTGTCTTATTTTATAACATGAATTACTGTTCAAACATCATTGTTAAATTATTTTTCTTGGGTTAAATGAAAAACAGGCTGCTTCTGACTATTGCAGTTTAAGCTGTGACTGTATTTTCAAGGAAAAAATTACGAGGTTTTGATTTCCCAAGTTACAAAATAAATTAATTTCCGGGCAATCATTTGAAGAACTTTCTGTGACACAAATCTTTTGACTGACGAATGTATATTTTTTCTCCCTGAATTTTGGTATTTTGGTGCCATCTTGTGGCTTGACTTTGTAGTAACTCCAACATGCAGGGGACCGGCAAAAAAAAAAAAAAAAAGGTAAGAAACCTAATATATGCTTCTCAGTTTCTAAACATCTTTTGTATTTGTCCCTAGTTGCTGCTATTTGAACGATCTTGGATGAGCAGATGGAAGTCTTCTGTTCTGCACGAAGGGGAAGGGAACATAAGGAGTGTCAAGTGGAGAGGCCATCTGATTGCTTGGGCCAATAATATGGTAAAAGCACGTCTTCATCTTGCTGATCCTTCTGCAGAGCCAGAAAAGTGACCACATTGGGAGAGCTGTGACAAAGGGGAAGATGCCCCTGGCTGCAGTGGTCTTTTCTAAGACCTACAAGTGGTGACTGCTCTTATACCTGGAAGGTTAAAGAGATTAGATTGCTTTTAGCTTTCATAATAGAGTAATTCCCAACATATTCTGGACTTTATTTTGGAGTAAGAAATCTGAGGCATGGAGAATAGCCAAGGAAATGAAAAGGCATCTTAATAATTGAAGGGTTGCATTGGGAATGTGGTGTTGAAAATACCATTTGCCTATTAGCCAAGGGCAAGCATAGTTGCTTTGGAACAAGTACAGGATATTGCTGATTTCATTTTATTCCCTGTATAATCACAGGTGAAAAGAGGCCTGCCTTTTAAAAAGTAGATTGTAATTTTTGGTGTTGCCCTCTCTTTAAAGTTTACTCAGTATGAGAGCGGCTGAATAGAAAGCTTAAAATTAGATTTTGACATCTGGCGTATCTTTTGGAATTTCAGGGTATAATTTAGTAAATTCGTTTTAAATGGTAGAATTCTCCCAGAACCCACCTTGCTATTCAGGACTTTTCTTAAACTTCTCCCGGGTCACAGTTATGGGTAAACAGACCTGTGGCCTCTTGGTATATTTTTAGTTAGCTGCTTGCTTGATGTTTCCATTTCAGTGCTTTAAAATGTCAGGTGTAGTTTTCTTTACACACAGTGGTTTGTCAGATTCAAAGCTTTTCTAAAAAACTCCATTTTTATAGTGGAACAATACAATTAGAAATGTTACTTGTCTGTCATTTTGGAAATGCAGTGGTAGATATCTTTCCATTTCCCATTTGTGTTGTATTTGAGCCCCTGATGCCATCTGCTAAGAAAATCTCTTTTGTCCCGAAAGAAGGGTAGAGGTTTTCTTTTGTTGTGGGTTCTCACACGGTTTGTGTGGAGTAGGAGCATTTTCTTTTGCATGGCTCCCAGCAGTGCTCAGTAAACACTGTCAATATTTTGTGGTGCTAATTATTGATGGTGTGTGGCAGGGGCTGTTAATAAGTTTTCCTGTCCTTTCCTTCTCCCTTCTTCTTTCCTTTCCTTTCCTTCCTTTTCCTTTCCTCCTCCCTAAGTGTAGAGGACACTTAATGCTCTTGTATTTTCCAGGGTGTGAAGATTTTTGATATCACCTCCAAGCAGAGAATCACCAACGTGCCCCGGGATGACATAAGTCTTCGCCCAGATATGTATCCGTGCAGCCTCTGCTGGAAGGACAGCGTGACGCTGATTATTGGCTGGGGGACTTCTGTCAAGGTGGTTTGCTTATCTTGATAATAAGTCCATGTTGTTAAAGATCCTCCAAAGGAAGATGAGTTCTTGAGTGCCTTCCTGGAACCAAAATATTTTGCCCCCTGAATGTTCACGTCATGTGATACTCATTTATGCTCAAATCCTTTCATATGCAGAAATTTGGAGATACGGTCTTTCTTTTCCTTGCCACATAAAACAAATTGTGAACTCTTCCTTGTTCAGAGTGGTGCTGCCATCTGCGATCCTTAAATTTCCCCTCGCCCTGTTGGCCTTAGCTATTTATGGAACATGTGGTTGGTTTCGTTGGTTCGTCAGGTTTTCCATTCCTTATTGTTCATTCCATTCCCCTTAGCTTCTTCGTTAGAGTTGATGATGGTGGGAAAAGACTAAATTATCCCGCATGCTTGGTCATAGTTGGATGGAGCAGAGGCCCAGACTTATTGATAAGATTAGGGGCTGTTTTTTGCCATGCAGCTATCTGCCCCTCGTGTGCCTGAGTAAATGAAATTCAGCCATTCTACAGAAGAGGGCCCAAAGCTCATTCACACTTATTTTTTGCATACCGGTGCTTGTCTTGTATTAGGTATTTCAGAACCCAAAGTTGTTGGCTTCCCTTTAAAAATATATAGCTTAATATAAACAAAATAAAAAAATTAGCTAAGAATAGTATGAGAAAGTATCCCAGCAACCATCTAATGGCAGAACTCAGGCTTTAGAGTCGGACAGGTCTGGGATCAGTTCTAACTTCTCCACGTACTTCCTGTGTGAGCCTAAGCCTGACTCCTCATCCACAAGTGGGAGTACTGACTGTTCCTGAGTCCTGAGCTTTGGGGAGGATTAAATGAGGTAATGCCTACAAAGAGCTTAGCATAGAATCTGACATGTTGTAAGTGCTTCATAAACCTCAGTTGTCATTATTATGCCATAAAATTCTAGAAAAGTCTTGAAAAAGACATGGTTATTTAAATGTACTCTTCTCTGGAAAAGGGAAGCATAAAAATTATTAATGCAGGCTGCTTACTAACCAAAACAAGCATTGTTAACTTGAGGTAGGGTCCTCCTGGCTCTTAGGTTGGTATGGTTCAAGTCCTCCTTTCTTTCTTAATTGTTTTCATGTATCAAGTGAACATAGCCTGATTCATATTTAGGATAGCAGAAGGGAAGGTGTGCCCAGTAGTCCAGGATAAAAAAAAGTGAAAAGTGATTCTCTAGTCTCCTTATTCCATATGTGTGGTTACTCATCCAATAAACTTACGTTGTTGATATTTTTTTTTAATTTCCTTAAGTGGACCAAGTGGCTTTTTGTTGGTTGTTTAAAGTTGTGATTTTCTGTTCTTCCGCTGAAAGACAAGGAAAATTAGGCCGTAGGGGCGCAGAAGTTTATTGAATGCTACCAAAAATGCCTTCTCTCTTAAGCTGAATAATGGCCCACAAAGATAGTATGTCCTAATCCCATAACCCATAAATGTTTCTTTATATGGCACGAAATAACGATTAATTAAGGATCTTGAGATGGGAAGATTGTCCTGCATTATCTGGGTGGGCCCTAAATGCAGTCTTTTTTTTTTTTTTTAAAGATTTTATTTATTTGACAGAGAGAGACACAGCGAGAGGGAACACAAGCAGGGGGAGTGGGAGAGGGAGAAGCAGGCTTCCCGCTGAGCAGGCAGCCCGATGCGGGGCTCCATCCCAGGGTCCTGGGATCACGACCTGAGCCAAAGGCAGACGCTTAACGACTGAGCCACCCAGGCGCCCCAGTCCCAGTTTTAAAGAAGGAGCGCCACCTCGGGAAAGGGGAAGGCAGCATGAGCAGGGAGGCAGAGACTGGAGCACCGCACACAGCCAAGGGAATGCGGCAGCCACAGGAAGCTGGAGGAGGCGTGTCACGGATGGATTCCCCTCTAGAGCCTCTGTGGGGAGTGCGGCCCTGCCAACACCTTGATTGGGGCCCAGTGATACTGGTTTTAGACTTCTAGCCTACAGAACTTGGACAGGATCAATTTCTGTTATGTTAAACTGCCAAGTTTGTGGTAGTCTGTTAGGGCAGCCATGGGAAACTAATATGCTTTCACTGTGCCCAAATTATGATCCAACTCATACATAATTTTTCATGTCAAATGTTTCTTTTTATTTACTGGGGATTCCTCTTATTCAGACTCAGTTAGTAGTACGCCGAGTACTTCTTCTCAGTTGAGAATCCCCCTGTGATCTGCTGAGGGAAGAGAAGATAGGACATAATCTTTCCTCTCCGAGAGCAGTCTTACTGGGGAGAGACAGCCACACGGTGTAGCAAAGCAAGCAGTTAGAGCCATTCATGCATTCATTCATTCGGCCAGCAACCACTTACCGAGTTCCCGCGATGTGCCAGGCAATGTTCTAGTGGGGGAAGATGGACAAGCAAGTGAATATACCACGTTGATGCTGGTAAATCGCAAGGGGAGTAGTTAAACAGGGACATTGGGAAAGGGGCTGGGGTGAGTGCTGCTATGTAATACAGAGCGATCAAGGGAAGACATCTGTCCTACTGAACGTGTCCTTTGGCAGAGATCTGGAGGGAGGAGGCCACACATCTGTGTGGGAGGGGTGTCTGCTGGGGTGGCAACCAGGGCAAAATCCTTGAGGCAGCGGTGTGATTTGCGTGTGTTTGTGGAACATAGAGCTTATGGGCAGAGCGGATGGAGCAGGTGTGGAGGAGAGGGATAGAACTTCCGAGGGAGGGGGAGGGAGGGAGGTGGGTACGTTGTGTAGGGGCAGATCGTGTAGGGCCTCACTGGCCTTGGTGCCATCTTTGGCTTTTAATTTGAGTGAGATGGGAAGCCAGCAGTGGGGTTTTGAGCAGCGGACTTAGTTAAATGATCTAACTTGGATTTTGAAAGGATCACTGCTGTGTGGAGCCAAACAGCAAAGGGGCAGTGAAGATGGGAGACACGGCAGGAGGCCACTGCGGGAACCTCTGTAAAAATCCTGGTGTGTCGGATCAGCCTCGTGGAGCTGGATTCTGGATGTATTTTGAGGGTAGACCCTGTCGTATTTATTGATGGCTCGATGTGGGATATAAGAAAAAGACAGAAGTCAGTGGTGACTCTTTTAACCTGAGAACCTGGGACCCGAAGCTGCCTTTTACTGACATGGGCAGGACTGCTGATGGAACACATTTAGAGGGCAAGTCAGGAGATGTTTTTGCGTGTGTCCACTTGAGATGCCCGTTAGACACGTAAGTGGAGGAGTGGCAGAGGCATCTGGATGAAGCAAATTAGCGTTCACGGGTGAGAACCTACCTGTCAGTGTAAAGGCTCTTGAGGTCATCGATCTGCTCTTAGGGGGCACCTGAGCTTAGGGTAGTGTTTCACTCTTCACCCACGTGCACCTGCTGCTACCCGTCTGAGGCAGGTGTGGGAGATAGAGCTCAGACCACAGAACATGGGGTGGGGGTGGAGAGGAGAACCCAGCCACCTGAACTTCCATGTGTCCTGGTCTTCAGAGAGCTCGTAGCAGGGTCAGGGAGACAGTCTGGCCTCGGCCTGAGTTCCCTTTTCCCGAGGAGCCTTCCTCCCCTGCCGCTAGACACCCCAGCTTTGTACTTCTGTACTTGCCCTTCGCACTTGAGTAAGAGGACTTCTTTGTGTGTCTTCCCCACTGCCCCATACTCTTTCTAAGAAAAGAGCTATGTCTGTTTCTTGAAACCCGTAACTCAGGACTGGTGCCCAGTAGTTGCTCAAAGTGCTACTGAATTTTATTCGTGGATTACTTTCTGTTACTCTCTTTCAGACCATTTGAGACACTACTCATGTACTTTTATCAGCACATTAAGACGGTTGTCCCTTGGGCACTGTGGCGCATGCCCGATAGACAGGTAGGCAGTTTCCCTAGTAAGTGTGGACAGAAGAATCAAAAGTCTAACAAAAGGAGAAGGAAATAGGGGAAGATTGGGGAAGTGGACAGGACATTGTCTGAGGTGGACAGGAGACAAAAAGCAATAATGGGAGAAAATTGCCGGTCACTTCTAGGCAAATGCTCCTACCTGCCCCCTCTCCTGGCACTGGGTTCGAGTCCTGTGTTAGAGCAGGGCCTGCCATGTAGTTCCTGCACTGCTGGACAGCAGTTTGGGCATGCAAACCAGGTCACATCCCCATCCAGCCCCAGTTGGGCTTCTAGGAATTTATCCTCTGGCAACAGAAGCCCAAACGTCTTATATCCAAGTATGTGAATCGTGCCTTCAGGTTGGATAGAGGCAAAAACTGAATGTCTAAAAGGGTATCGTAAGAAAATAACAGTACACTCATGCAATGAGATACCATAGACATTATTGTGTTGTGGAAGAATATTTAAATAATACATTAAATTACTTTAGGTGATTGTTAGGTTAGTTAAAGTCGCTTCCAAACAAAAAAGATTGTTAGTGTGTTCACTTTATAATGGGACAGTGGATAATGTTTGCTTTTTCTCTTTGGGTTTTTCTGTATTTTAGAATTTTCTATATTGTAGCTAAACTTAGGGTAGTAGTATTTCTTGTGTTCTTTTATAGCTACCTAAAGAAAAAGGAAAAAACCTGATCCTTGATGAAAGTTGTGTAGAATCAGTGTTTAACTTCAAGTTGTCTTACCTCAGTGGCAGAACTTACGTAAATTTTTGTTGTCTTATTAAAAAATAGAATATATTCACTTTAGAAAATATAACAAAGAAAACTGAAATTATCCATAGTCTCTCACCTTAAAATAACCATGGTTAACACACTTACGTTGTTTGGTGTGAGTGTGTATGTGTGTGAGAGAGATAAATGCACACACACATATATATCCAAACCGTATCCATATAATTTAAAAAAGAGATTGGCAAACTTTTTCTGTAGAGGGTAGTAAACATTTTAGACTTTGTGGGCTACATACCGTTTCTGCTGAATTTTTTCTTTTTTTGTCTTCTTTCTAGGCTTTCAAAATGTGAACTCTTTTTAGTTTACAGGTCATAAAAAGACCAGTCAAAAACAGGCTGTAGTTTGCCAGCCCTGATTTAAAGTTTATAATACACTGATTTTAAAACACTTTTTTTTTTTTAATTTTAAAACACTTAAGAGGGAAAAAAAAACACTTGAGAGAAGAGCATGATGCCACTTATGCAAAGTATTACTTAGCAACAGTGAAATAAATAACTAATATGTAGTCAGAAACACAAGCCCTAATGTGAATGTTGCTCAGGTTAGCCATTGGGCTTTTTGGTTATGTGCTTCTGCCAGGACTTTATCTGGACGATGATAGAAGTAGTCCCTAAGTAGAGTTGCAGAGAATGGGTCATTGGAAACATGTTAAAATGATATTATAGTTTCCCTTCTTTCTTTGTCCTTGAATAAGACTTTACTGAAGAATAATGTTGGAGAACATAAGTAATGGTTGCCTTAAGTCATTGAAATTAATTTCTGTCATTTTAAGTCATTGAGTAGGTTGTATGCGCTCCATCCCAGTGCTACATGGCTAATTTAACAAAAGTATCCTATATTGAATGAAATGTTATGAAGAGTTTTCCATCACATGAGTAAAATAACCTGTGAATTTATTTTCTAGATCTGCTCAGTGAAGGAGCGGCATGCTAGTGAAATGAGGGACTTGCCAAGTCGATATGTTGAAATAGGTAAGCCTTCTAGGAATGTAAGACGTCAAAAGAGAATCCATTTCAGTAAAGGGAAACCTAAAATCATGTTCGTCTTCAGGGCTCATCACTTGGGACCTGAGTGAAGTAGGTCAAGAAGCTTTGAAGTTTTGAAACTTTGCTATAGAGACCCTCTTTTCTCACTGTATTTCCAGTTTTTACACAGTATTTTTGTAGCTGGCTTTGAAGTTAAATAACCACTGGTTTGGGTTCTGTTGTTTCCCACCTGGACTTTGGACAAACTGCTATATGCCTCTGCATTCTCATCTATAAAATGTGAGGAAGAACACCTTTCCCACAGGTTGTGGTTGGGAATTCAGAGCGTTCATGCATGTGCAGCTCATCGCACATACTGACGCCTGGTCCTGTCCACATATAACCTCTGAATACGAATTTTCATCTGGGCCGAACTTCCATAATCTTTTCTCTGGATCACTGCAGCAGCCTCCTGACTGGTTTGTGTCTCTTGCCACTGTGAATTGTGGTGATCTGGTCTCCCCAGTGCAGTCAGCATAAAATCAGATCGTGTCACCACCCTTCAGCCCATCCCCGTTGTTTGTAGCACGGAGAGGAGACTCTTGACGTGAGTGCAGGGGTCTGTGCTGGCCCTCCCTGGTCTCCGCACTGCAGCCACGCTGGCCACCTTCACCCATCCATGCTCCTTCTTCTTGTCTCTCTAGAAGGCCCTTCTTGCCTCTTTGCATGTCACTGACCCTTAATCATCCCTCAGCTCAAGTAGGGGAAGAGCCCTCTGGACCTTGCCAGCAAGGTCAGACCCTCCCCTGTGAAGCATGGGTGTCACTCCCCTTTCTCACACCTGTTTCACTTACAGTGACTGTGCAGCTGTTCGGTGTAGGTTGGTCCCTTCCCCCACACCATAAGCTCCCTCAGAGCTCGCTCTGGGTCCTTGCTCAGTGTTTGTATCTCCAGGACGTGGCCCGATGTAGGTACTAAATAATAGCGAGTACTGAATGGATCTGTGACTCAGGGAAACACCTGTTCAGGAGAAGTATGATGAAGATGGTCTACCACTACTTTTTACAACTTAGTTTTATAACTTAGTGTAAAAGTATTCAGACAGAAAGGATGAAAGCAGAATGACTTTTGCTAATTAAACAGATATAATCAAAGCTATTTTGGGACTGTTTAGAACCAAGCGGTAGGAGACAATGTTGTGCAACAAAGAAATTTTGCCACATTATAAGTCAGCTGGAAAGTTCATTTACCTATTTGGATGATGGATGGGGAATATCACTTTGAAGGGTTCTTATAACAAGATGAAGCTAAATCACTTGCACATGACTGTCTTTCTAAAACCAGAAAGGTGTGTATTACCCCCATGGCTCATATGGTCAGAGCATTTCAATCTGGGATATTTCATACTTGAAGACAGAAGTGGGTGGTAGGGTTTTAATAATTTTTTGCCTTACAAAGAGAAATAAGTGCATTGTTGGGATTGCTCAGGGTACGGACACAGCAGGCCTGTGCAGAATATAACAGTCCTGAGAAGAACTGAGGAACAAGACACTAGAGACGACTGGAAACTACCAGGTCACTAGCATTACTTCAATGTCTCCGTCTTCTTTTCCTGCCTCCCAGCAAAATCCTCTGAACACCTCAATGCATAGTGTCCTGAGAGAGAAGTATTCCAATATCTTAAATACAGATGAGTGGGAAAAAAATCAAGAACTCTGAGAGTTTTTAAGGGGATGGAAGACTTGCCAGGAAGGCATAAAAGTATCGTAGCTGTCCTCTCCTTAGCTGATGTTGATTGCTCACGCATGAGGCGTGGACCAGTCCCCTGTGTGCTTTACCTACATTGGTTCACGTCACCCTCGTGGCAGCCCCCATGACGGTGGGGCACAGGGACATAAATATCTGGTCTCAGATCTTACTACAGTGGCATTAGAAATGGACAGAATCTTAACTGCAGAACGACCACCAGCTTCTGGAGACACAAGGCAGTTTGCCAAATTCCTGTATGATCTTGATGAACTTGCTTCACCTTCCTGAGCCAGGCTTTCCTCACCTGTAAAATGGAGGTGACAGTATCTACCTTTGCAGTCAGTTGTGAGAATGAGACCTAAGTAACGCCTTTATCACTGTGCTTGGCATACAGTAGGCGCTCACTGAATCATGGTGGTGATTATCCCTGTGCAAACTTCCAGCCCGGCTCTGTGACTGCTAATAGCTGGCCCAGTGGTGGCCCCAGAGCCCTGGGATCACGTTACTAAAGTATAGTTCATCTGTCCTACAATTTACGTGAAATAGACTGTGTGTGGGTGCGGGCAATACCACATTCCTGACGTTTTACTACTATGGTTAGTGGTTAAGTACCATTTTTTCCCCTCTTGAGAGCAAACCTTTAAGAATATAAACCATTTCCACAGCAGGAGGCAAAGTGGTTTAGATAAGAGTCCTTGACGAGGCTAAAGGAGAAGAGAAATATTAGGAGGCCTGGATTACAATTTGCTTTAGCCCTGAACAGTGTGAGACACTGTTCTTTAGTAAATGAGGTGAAAATGGCACTGAGGTTAAAGAACTTTCGGTGGCTGTACATTTCTTAGAAGCCAGATGTTTATAACTCTTACTTATAAATCAGAATCTCAGGAACAGCACAAAAGGTTTCGCTCACAATAGGATATTAGTTTATTCTTATAAATGAAAAATAATAAGGATTAAGTTTACTGGGCAGTCACCAACCCATGAAGACATTCTCTGTACGTAAGGCTTTTTGGATGTCATTTCTTTTTCCAAATTACATTGTTAAAAGTAGGTTGTGGTCTAAGCCTGCCATACTTGTTTGAACTTGGGTCTCTTGTGTTATCACAGGACTCCCTCCCTCTTTGGCACTTTTCACCAAAGTCTTCCACGGGCTTCACGGAATGGCATTTAGACAGTGTGAAGAAATGAAACCAGTGTTTGTGGGTCGTTTTCTGGGTGTCTACTGCCAGGGATAGAGGACTTACATGTGAGAAATTCACGATTGATTTCCTGATCTTGATTTCATATGGAAGCTTGTTTCATAAAAAGACTAATCAAGAGAAAAAACTATATGGGAATCTATGTAAAATGACTGAAGCCAGGAAGAAAGAGAGGGAATGGAAGAAGGGGGACATCTTTTTCTCTTTAAGTGGTGTTCGTATCTTCAGTTGATTATACACTGTGGCTCTTAGAATTTAGCACATTGTTCTATTTTTAGCCTCTTGATTGGGAAAAAAACAGTGACCTGGAAATGAGACATCTTTGTGGTGGTGGAGGCGAGTTGTGAGGTAATGTCTTTCCTGGATCTAAGTGTGTCTCACCATCCACCTATTAGACTATGCTGACCCAGTTGTGCAGGTTCCAGCAGGGGACAGTTCTCGTGCCCTGAGTGACGTGGCTCATCCCCTAGCCTGAGGCTCAGCAGGAATCAGGACATCTCTGGCATCATTCACGGTGTTTTTGCTTAAGGATCTGTCTTTGGTGTTCTGTTATAATTCAGTTTGACTCTCTATTATTTCTTAATTCTTCTCTTCTGCATTAAATTTTTTCTCTGACATTTTATTATGAAAAAAACTAAAACATACAGACAGGTAAAGAATTTTCACAAAAATAGTGAGCACCCATGTGCTCAGCTCTTAGGTTCTGCAATTAAGATTTTATTGTACTTGCTTTATTACATGTCTGTTCCTCTAGCCATTCCTCCTCAGAGTAAGAACCCTTCCCCACTCAGTGCCGGAGACTCAAATGTTTGTTGTTGGGTGTCGAATTAATAAATTTTCTCCGTAACAAGTATTGGTAAGAGATCTGAAACACCCGATGTTATATAACAGATACATTTGGTTCCTTTTATAAAAACAACCAGCAGGCACATGCCAAGTAGAATTTCATTTAATCTTCACAGTGATCCAGATGAGTAGGATCTGTCATCTGCTGTCATCCCATTTTATAGGTGAAGAAGCTGAGGTTCAGAGGGGTCAGGTAACCTGCTCAAGATTATTACATTCACAAGCAAAGAAAACAGCATTTGAACTCAGGATGTGCCGAGTGTCAAAGCTGTCGCTCATAACCCCTGTATCATATGTTCTTCCCATGCGTTCCTCTCTCTGACCCCCAGAGGAACTGATGAGAAGGATAGAGGCTTACTCGGGGCGTTCAGATAAAAACCATTGGGGAGACATTCTCTAGCATCCAAACACCCCTTTTAATATGCCAGTGATCATGTCTGCTCACCTGTTCTTCAAAGGGCCAGATGAAATGCAGTGGATTTTTTTCTTTATTTTGGTTCAGCAAAGCATCTCATTTGGAGAAGTAAGAGACTTTAGTTCCCCTTGTTTTATTCTAGGACTGATAGTTCTTCCTTGTTCCTCCTCCAGATTGTTAGAGAATATCTAGAATATAGTTGCCTTGGATGGCTATCAAAATGGTTTCTAAGGAAAGGGAACGAAACCCAGATTGTGAGGTGATTCTTTAAACCGTCTGAGAAAGAGGAAACGTTCTTGTTTGCTATTTTTTAGCGCTTGACTTCAGTTTAGTTGATGCATCAAGGTAGCTTTGGGGGTGTTTTTGGTCTCTGAAATTGTTTTTAAGTTTTATTTTATTCTGGCAAGAACACAAGTTGAGGTCTACCCTCTTAAATTTTTAAGTGTACAATACATTATTGTTGACTATATGTACATTGTCATACAGCAGATCCCTAGAGCTCACTCATCTTACTTAAACCTTAGACCTTAGAAATTTCCCATTTTCCCCTTCCCTCCACCCATGGCAACCACTGTTCTACTCTTTGATTCTATGAGTTTGACTCTTTTAAATACGTCATAGAAACAGAATCATGCAGTATTTGTCTTTCTGTGACTGGCTTATTTCACCTAGCGTAATGTCCTCAGGGTTCATCCATATTGTTGCATGTTGCAGGATTTTCCTGCTTTTTTAAGGCTGAATAATATTCCAGTGTCTGTCTATGTACCATGTTTCCTTTATCCACTCCTCTGTTGATGGATATTTAGCTTGTTTTCTACATCTCAGCTATTGTGAACAGTGCTGCGGTGGACATGGGAATGCTAATATCATTTTAAGA